AGCTAAAAGTGTATCTGCAAAAAAAGGTAAAATATAGCCTCCAAAAAGAACAATTCCATGAATTCTCTTGTTTGACATGGAGACATAACTCAAGCACGCTTCCACAAAAAGCATAGTGTCTTAAAAGCAATGCCATCTCACAGCCTTCTTTAAAGCCGCTCAACTGCAAGATTATTCACACTAATTATAAAAAATTCAAAAATTAAATTAAAGCTGATCTCCACCCAAACCTGACTTAGGCAAAGAGATTATTTCCATTTCGATCTACTGCATGACTTACAGACCGAAGGGCAACATGGCTGAAAAGGTAAGCCATTTATTTTTGTGAGGTGCAGACTACTGTCAAGGTTTTGTAGCCAGTATGTGCCTTCATCCAATGCCTTGTGCATTTGCAAAGATTTCATATTGCTAGCAGAATGTCTCCTAGGCAGCATGCTTTTAGTTGACGGCAGCATTCCTCTTCTTGGAACGAAGGTTGCAGCATCTCTTTTATGATCCTTCCCTTTGTTTTCTTTGGCAGACATGTTTGCTTTGTTCTTTACTGCCCCTTTGCTACTAGAGGCTGCATCTTGCTTCCTTGTGAAAACAAAAGGGAGATTTGGATTGGAACTTGGAAGTTCAGTAATAAACTCACCAAGGCTAATTGTTTTGCTGCTGACATTAAGCTCCTTATCTGCCTTTGAGTCATTTGACTTAAAAGGAACACACTTGGCAGACGTCTTTGGAGACACGATTGCATTGACTAAATTTTGATTTGCCTCTTGAGAAGCTGCACTGTGTTTCTTCTTCTCCACCCAAATAAACTTTTGCCTCCCTGGTGGTTGTTGCCATTGCGAAGCATGCACCTCGGCAACATGTCTTTGACGCTCTTTAGCTCTTTTCTTTTGAAGCCGCCTTTGAAGAGTCCTAGGATTTTGGGTAAAGAACTCTGGGTGGGCCACCAGGTTTATATGGTGACCATGTCTAAATTGACTTTGTTTATAGAGGCAGCATTTGCACATGCCTCCATGCTTTTCTACGAGATCATGCCCCCCGTGCCTCCACTCAGAGACATGGGTTTGTTGCTTTTGTTCCTTCATTGGTGTGCAACAGAGGTCTTTAGATTTCTTCCTCCTTCTTCGACTTGGTAGATGCGAAGGCATGGTGTTTCTTATGTCGCCTCCCATGTTATCCTTGTGGTTGCAAGGAAAATTTGAGAATTTCTTGTGAAAGCCACTTTGGAAAGAATCATTATTTTTTGAATATGGCCTACGGCATGTTAGACAACATGGTGGCCTGCATGCCACTTGAGTGGCCTTGGGCAATGAATCTGCAAATTGCTGAGGTCGTCTAGGCTTGCAAACATGCTTTTGCTGTGGTGGCATTAGTTGGACGTTTGAATTGGCATTTGGCTGCAACGGCACAAACCTTGCTGCCTCTTTTTCTATAGCTTTGTGAACTTCATTGGCAATCAGGTCTTGCAACCTTTGTTGTTCAATCTGACTAGGTTGCCCCCCGAGATTGGAAATGACTCCCCTCTTCAGACTAACGACTTTAAAAGGATATTTCACCTTCAGCCATTGTCCATAATTGAACTTGGACGGGCTTCGACCATTAAGAAAGCATGGTCGCCGCGAACACTTCTTAAGCAAGGCTGAAGAAATATGCTCATTAGTCTCAAAAGAAGTAGAAATAGA